CAGTTTGACATCATCATGCTAACTGAAACTTGGTACCAAAATGAGCTAGAGGTACTTCAAATGAATCACTACAAGGTATATTTTTTAAACCGTGAAAGCAAACGTGGTGGGGGAGTGTTGATATATGTTAAGAATACCCTTTGCTGTGAGATTTTACCATGTTTTTCATTTCTTTCCGATGACCTAGAAGTATTATCGTTGAAAGGTGAACAACAAGTGTTTAGTGTTATGTATAGACCCCCAAATGGTAATATCGAAGGTTTCTTTTTACACCTACAGAGGTTTCTCGATTTCGTAAATGTCGGTTAATATGCTCTTTTTCTTGGCGGCGAATTTAACATAGATATGCTACGTCCCCCAAGTGCGCAGTGCTCATTTTCATCTATACTTGAATCTAGTGGTTGTGTGAATGTTATTACCTCACCAACTCGCATAACAAGCTCCTCATCAACAGATAGATTTGTTCGTTACTAACACTGATACACGCAACACGTCTGGCGGAGTTATCAACGCACAGCTAAGCGACCATCTGCCACAGTACATGTTTACAATCCACGCCACTCCGAACAAAGAAAATAAGACTGAAGATCTACCAACGTTCCAAAATGTAAACGCAACCACCCTCGAAAAATTTAGGTCCTTAGTAAACACCACAGACGGGAATGAAATTTATAACTTGGGTAATCCTGATGACGCATACGATACCTTCTTAACAAAATTTACGCGTATATAAAACATAGCATTTAAATACCAGCCTATTCGCCCAAAAAGTTCCCGACAAAAACCTTGGATAACCAGAGTATGCTTAAAAATGATAAGGAAAAAGAACAGGTTATACGGAAAATCTTTAAAGACCAGAGATTCTGATGATTTATGCTGTTTTAAAGCCTATAGAAATCGGCTGACAAAGCTGCTGAGAAAGTTGAAAGATAACTATCTTCTATGCTTATTTAATGGCCAGTCAATGTCCAGGCCAGACCAGACATGGAAAACAATCAATAAATTATTGAACCGGTCAGCACAGCTAAACAATGTAACCGAGATAAAGGTCGGAGAATCAACCTTACGAGAAAAGGCCCTAGCCGATTCATTTGACAATTATTTTGCAAACCTAGTACAGGGCACACAAAACTGCGATGCACCAATTTACTTAGGAACGCCGAATGAGAGCAGCGCTTTCCTCGCCCCCACTGATGAACATTAGGTTTATCATATGTTTAACACAATTCAAAATAGCAAATGTAGTTATATTGACAACATTCAAATCAACTCTGTTAAATATGTACTGGATATACTAACACCCATAATTACCCATATTTTCAACATTTCAATTTCATCCGGAATCTTTTCTAAAAAAATGCAAATTGCGAAAGTTATAGTTATTTTCAAAGGTGGAGACAGAAACGATCATTCAAACTACAGACCAATTTCCATTCTTCCTGTGTTTTCGAAGTGCCTAGAGAAAATTATTCATCGTCGTATGACTTCTTTTTGTGACCGTTTCTCGCTCATAACCTCATCGCAATATGGTTTCAGGAAGGGTAGATCAACTGAACTCGCACTACTAAATCAAAAAGAATTCATCTTAAAATCATTCGAACAAAAACTTTTAACTCTTGGTGTCTTTGTTGATTTCTCTAAAGCATTTGATCGCATAAATCATACCACCTTAATTAATGAACTTCAGTTTTATGGTTTCCGTGGACTAACCCTAAACCTGTTAACATCGTATTTAGAATTTCGTAAACAATCTGTTTTTATAAACAACTATTCTTCAGACGTTCAAGCGTTAAAAACGGGTGTACCTCAAGGAAGTATATTAGGCCCACTTCTGTTTAACATTTATATAAACGACATTGTAACGATTAGCCCAAACACCACTTTCATGATTTATGCTTATGACACATAACTACGTACTTTTTTCAGCTAACAATATCGACACACTTGCAGAAACCATTAACAACACACTGAAATATTTACATAAATGGAGTGAAGCAAACGCTCTACTAATTAATACATCTAAAACAAAAGCGATTATTTTTAAGCCACATAATAAATTGGTAAATATTGACTTGCGCCTGAAACTTGGCCCCTCTATCATTGAAGTCGTCCCGAATGTAAAAATCTTAGGTGTAATGTTTAATGAAAACATTTCACGGGACACCCACTTTCAAAGTGTAATAAAAAAAATTTCAAGTGTTGTTGGCATTCTCAACAAGTTCCGTTCAAGTTTGCCAGTCAAAATTAAGCTCCTCTTTTACAATTCTTTATTCATGTCACATTTGAATTATTGTCACTTGGTCTGGGGCACATCAACTACAACTAACTTAAGCAAATTAACGATTCTTCAAAAGAAGGAAATCCGAGCTACAATCAACCCACACGAAACCATTGCTTAAATCATTGAGCGTCCTATCCTTAAACAAACTGTACGAATACAGTTTACTTATTCGATGTATAGCAAGTATTAAACAAAAGACGCCTGACATTAGTAACATAGCAGAATTAACAATAAATATTAGACCTTATATCGTATGTCACGAAGAAGTATGGAGGATACCATTCAGTCGAACAACCTATGAAACTGAAATGCTAAAACATCGCCTTCCTTTTTTACTAAACCATTCCATTGAAAATAACATTATCATCGAACATTTAACATCTCATTCCTTAAAACTGATGTTTCTATGAATATTTATGTCATACAATTGTATTTTAGCATATAGAGTGTATTTTTTTCCCTTGACATTGTAATCTATAGCCCAATTTTAAACGTGTATTTTGACTATTGTTACAGTGATTTTTTTTTTAAGTATCTGACCTTTTTTTTTTCTTTTTCTTTCGAATGCTTGCCGTTTGCTAAAAAAGGGGGCGTGAACCTCGTCAAGCCGACATCTGTCGTCTTTTTGTTCATGCCTCCAGTGCCTGTATTCGTGTACAGACGCAAATAAAATGATTGATTGATTGATTGATTTTGGAACTGGAAATCTAACTGGAATTACGCCTGAAAACCTGAAATGCAAATTGCAGACAAAGGAATATTTGCTGAAAACTTGAAACCCAGATGCGATCCCGATACATTGCCAGCTCCTTAATTCACATAACAGAAAGTTGTACCGTTACTTTTCTTTTATTTTTTTAAGCACTTTCATTTCCCCGTTTATTTTTTTTTGTGTGTGTTCGTGTGGCTGTGAGCTAGAGCGACGGCAGACTAAAGCAAACCCGCGGGACTAACACGCTTGGACGAAAATTGCTCACGTGACTCGCTCTGACGCGCTGATGGGCTTACTGGGACCGTAGTTTTCGTGGTTTGCCAATTTATGGAGATCAGTAGGGGAGCACGTACGTCGGGTTTTTGAAATGTCCTCTTCAGTGTCTGCTGCTTTTCGTGCGTTGCAGTCGCGGCCTTGCTTGTTCGTCGTGAGGGGCCGGAATATGCCCGTGCCAACTTTTCGGGAATGTCCGTTTTTTTTGTGCAGTCCATAAAATGGTTGCGCTGTGTCTCTTGAACGCGCTTTGATAACGAACTGCTCATCGGCGATCCTTATAGGACGTGCGTTGGTTCCGATACCATTTGCGTAAGATTAAATTTAAGGCAAAGCTCGGTGAATTTGCTAGCTTCTGGGTTGTCTACGAAAAAAAATGTGCGTTGTGTTCGTCCAGTTTATACTCGGGAAATACTGTCCCTAAAAAGAAGGACTCTTGCGTTGGATTGCTCCCATGTAAGTTTTTTTAGGGGGTAACTAAATATACTAGAAAAGTCGGCACTGTTATGTGGTGGTTTGTAGAAATTTCCTAGTAATACACCTGGAGGGGCAGAACGACAGATAAGCCATACCATTTCAAGATTAAATTGAAGGTCAATGACAGGACCGAACAACTCTTGACCGGGAGAAATGAGTACACATCGACTAAGTATGCCTTCACGTTCTTCACCGAAAAGTTGGAAATTCAGTAAATCAGAGATGACTTCAGTGTCAGTGACATTGCCAGACAGCAACGTTTCTGTTAGAATAAGTAAATTCCTGCCAGATGACGACATGATACTAGACACCAGCTCTTGTTCTGTAAAGAAACTACGTATGTTTGTGAAAATTACTAACAAGCGAATATTTTCTCCTGGACGGGGTTGTTTTGGGGGCGATTTATTTCGGACTGGTGGCGGGGCGATTGCTGCGCGATTTATCTCACATAATTCGTCACCTCATCAAAAAACAAGCATTTCGTGCCGATGAATAGGGTTTTGTAGCGCAATAAAAAGGCGGTAGAATTATTTTAGAGCGCAGCACTTAGGCGCCAGTTTCCGGCTTGAGCGGCATCGGCGTCACCGTCGGCATCGCCGTCGCCATCGGCTTAACCGCGCGTTGAATTATGGGACGTTTCCCATAATGACGTCACGACGGTCACGAGCGACGTCACTCGTGGCGTCACCGCGCGTTGCATTATGGGTAAATTTCTCCAATACATTTACCGCAAAAAGTTTCCTGCTAAATTTAGCAGGAATCTTTCCCCGCTATCGGAAAAAACCCAAAAAATTTAGAGGGAAAATTATCCGCCAAATTTAGGGGAAAAAATCCCCGCTAAATTTAGCGCGAAAAATTCCCGGCTATATTTAGCGGAAAAGTTTCACCGCTAAATTTAGCGGGAGAAATTCCCCGCTACTTTTTTCGGGAAAAATTTCCCGGTAAGTATAGCGGAAAAAAATCCTCGCTATATTAAGCAGATAAAATTCCAAGCTAAATTTACCGCAAAAGTTTCCCTCTTATATTTAGTGGAAAAAGATTTTCGCTAAATTTAAAGGAGCTGTGCAACGATTTTAACGTTGAAAGAATTGGCATCTTCTGCTTTTGATATTGTTCACCTTGTCACAAATGAAAGAAAACACACCCCCTTTCATCGAAATGTTGCGATTTCGCCGCGTAATCGCGAGGTAAAAATTAGAATATTCCCAGACCTGCAGCCGCGAGCGGCCGCCATGGGAAACACGCGCGTGACGTCACTTGGGTACCTGTATAAAAGATATAAAGTTCTGCAAATACCTGCTCAATAAAGGGTATCTTTTCCATAAATATTGCCGTCCCAACAACATAAATGCTTGAAAAACGTAGTATCAATTACAGAAATTTTTAGTGGCGCCATCTACCCGAGGTCAATAAAACCGACAGCTCGAGCAGCATCAGCGGCTAGCACGAGGAGCCGAACGAGCGCTTTGGTTTGGTTTTCCGCCGTGTCGATCTCGACTTCGAACGTCGCCGCTCGGCAATGCCGACCGGGTGCTCCGTTCTCCTGTGTCCTAACCGGACTGCACAAAGCCCTCTTGTCCGTGCTAAAAAGCTCCAGTTCCATCTTTTACCACGCGAAGAACGTCTCAGAAGTGAGTGGTGTGGAAGGATTGGTAGAAGGGACCCTGGACAGGCAGACGTGCGCGTGTGCTCCGAACACTTCGACAGCGACCGCGACTACCGTCGCCTGCCAAGTGTTCTTCGCGATGCCGGGCAGACGATGAAGAACGTCTACCTGAAGCCAGATGCTATTCCTTCGCTCCGACTGCCCCCCACTGCGAAGCGCCTCTCCCCTGCCAAGGACCCAGCCGTGCCAACGTCGAAGCGCCGAAGAACTGAGGTAAGTGTCGCACGTTCGCGAGCGGCACACGGTCGTGAACCTTTCGAGCACAGGTTTACGAACATTTTTGCTTTTGCAGAACGATGAGCCGGTGGAGGTGGATTGCTTCGAGAGGACCACACCTCGCGAGCACAGCTGTCATTGTCGTCACCGACCGGCGACACGCGACACAGCGGTCCAGGCCGACCTGCATGAAAATCCGGGACCCGCACAGACTCCGAGGCCGCCTGGCACGAAGGACAGTTCTGTGGGCACAGACCGATGGCTGGGAAAGCGATCTACCGGTACGCATCAAAAAAAGCCGCCTGTATTCGCGTGCTTGACGTCATATTGCAGGAGAAACTGTAGGAAGGGTCTTCATTGCTCTGCCAAGTGCCTTCCGACGGCACTCCACGCGAATATTGACAATACTGCGCGAATGTGCTTTTTTTTTTTTTTTTTTTTTCGCGTTTGCATGGTGTTTTTGTTTTTCTATGCGGTTTCATTTTGCTTCGAGCTCAAACGATTTTGAATTCCTTCTTGCTGTGGAAAGTGTCGAACATTGCGTCCAAAACTCCACCTTTCATGTGTTTACGGGAAGAAAAAGAGAGGAAGGGGTAATGCATTCCAGAATGTAACACTAGCCCACGCCATGACATCTACTGCCCCCAGAACTTGTGGACAAATTTCGAACGAGCACATAAAGTGCCCTCAGATGACACATATGAACACACTTGATGGTACACCAGCAACAGCATAAATTCTACGCAAATTTAGTACTGTACTATTTCTTAATTTAACTGGGACATGAGGGATGTAGTCTTATTCCTTCTTGTCGTTAGGCCAGGTAAACCCTATAAACGTGCTGCTGCTTGTTGTAGGTAACTAGATAATAATAATAATCTCTAGCAAAGGTAGCGGTACACTAGGTGACCTGCAAAGCTAGACAGATAGGCTGGAGCCCTTACTTATCAGCGTTTGCTAGCCAGCCAGCCGAAGCAATAGAATGCAAATTAAAACAAATAACGAAACAAAGGAGAGGCAGGTAACACCGCCTAGATACAAAGTCCCAGTGCCGGAGCCCCCAGCACCATTCGGGACGGGAAAACAGAATATTTTTTCCAGCCGAGCCCAAATGCCATGCCAGCGCGACTGAGACACTTTCAGCCGAGCACCGGCGCAATACTCTCACCAGGCCCACACCACACACCGCCTAACTGCAGCCGATGCAGGGGGCCGGGGTCTGGGCCCTGTATCCAGGCGGCATTGCGGAAGGCACATGTTACCTTGAAAGCTAACACGAAAGTCAGTGTGCATGCACAGCCCTGGTTGGCCTTCACCTTCTTTGACTTTCCATTGTATTTCACTCTCCAGGTCTAGGTTGTCGTTTATTTCAATGTGGAATAACCAAAAAATTTTTACTATTCGAGCGTGTTGGTGCTTTTCAAAACATTTAGGAAGTGGAGACACATAAGGGACGTCCCTTATGTGTCTCCACTTTCTAAATGTTAAGAAAAAAAATGTTACTGCTAGAATGCCATTTTGTGGAGGCTTGTACTAGTCAAACAGGATGAAGAGTCGGATAAGTAAACCTCTTTTTGCCCTTCAGGCACGCAGTGGAATTCCTACGCCAAAGGTATCACCGCCCACTGGGTACAGACCGAGGACTTGGAGACACCCGACAGTAGCAGCACCACTGCCGGCAGCAACAGCACAACCACTGCCGCAGCCTTCGCCTCCACCACCACTACCTCTGCAGTGCCACCGCGAAGACCGGGCCCAGCATGTGCAATGAGCCCTGTCCTCAGTGATTCGGACGAGGAGGAGGAGGAAGAAGAGGACGACGACGACGGCGACGACTGCGACGATGACCCTCTGTGGGAGCCACCCACCAAAGGAGGCTTTGTCGAGTAAGAATGGTTTCCTCTTGGGATGAGGCAGGCTAAATATGAATGAACATTTACAGCTGGCACCAATATGTGCTGGCACATGTCTTGTGCTAGCTGAATTGATCAAAATGCCGCTTAGGCTGCCCCTTGCATGCCGAGTCACAGAACCAAACACCACAATGCAGCAGTAAGGGACCTAGTGCTCCTAGCATGGCATTATTGCCTCCTGCCTGAGTACCCTTGTTCCAGCTTGTACTGCTGCTTAATTTACCAATACAACGGATCAAGAGCAGGCCATAGCAAGAAGAACGAGAAGTGTTCCACACGACTGTGGTGGCTTTGCTATTGATTGCAAACCTTTCGGGTCGTATGTTTCACAGCACAGAATTTTTTTTTTCTTTTCAAGAACAGGTAGGGGTAGTTGCCAGTGCTTTGCAATGGTTTCACATGCTAACAAATATACGAAAAGACAACATCAAATTGTGATCCCAACTTATTTTATGTAAATATCAATCTGAATTTTAAGGGACCATAAATAACAAATAAATAAACTTGACTAAACCATTTTGCAAATTCTTTTTGGAAGTTTGTTATAAGTAGGGTTCATCTTGGACCGAATGTTTCTGAAATTGTATTAGTGAACGGTTCAGAAAATGAACAAGGCAGCATTGCTCCTTTAGTTTTTGTAAGCCAAGCACAGAAGTGACTGTTGATCAGTAAGCACTCACAACTTTTCCAGGAGTGCCACCACTGTGTCCGGAGAGCCAGACTACAAAGAACGAAAGTTCCTCGTGTTTGAGAGCAGCCTGCGGCAGTTGTTTGCGGTCTGCCAGACGTGCTACAGCCCCTGCAGTGTGTCACTGAGCACGATTGGCACGCTCCTGACGGTGCACACCTCTTGCCCCGCTGGGCATAAGAACCGTTGGGACAGTCAGCCCTACATCAACGGCAGGCCTCTGGGGAACCTCCTCATCACCAGCTTCGTCCTGTTCACGGGGGCCTCCCCAACCATCACGCTGCGCCTGCTCCGCCTAATGAACATCGTGGTGATCTCAATGAAGACATACACAAACTACCAGCGGGCAATTTTGATCCCAGCTGTTGAACAGGTGATTATGATGCTATCTTATGAGCATTATCTGACATGCTTTTGTATCCCAATGCAGTGTTTGACCACACTGCTTGCTAAAGTACCAAGCATTTTACTTTTATCTCCCACAGGTGTGGGAGGAGGAGCAGGAGAAGCTGTTGGGAGAGCTCCGTGACCAACCCCTTGACCTTGCTGGTGACGGGAGGTGCGACTCCCCAGGCTACAGCGCAAAATATCTGACGTACTCTCTTCATGCACCCCACGTGAACAAGATCGTTCACTTAGAACAGGTTCAGGTAGGAGAGGTAAGGAAGGGATCCATCGTCCTCATTACAATAACATGTAATTTTGTGAAACAGAATTAATACACTCAGTTGCACAGCAAAGCTTCTAACTAAACCTAATGCTTTTGGCACTTTTTGTGTTTGGCAATGTCATTTGGCACTGTTGTGACCAAAGACAGGTCATCGTGGCTTTCGGCAACTTGGAGTGATTCTGAAAAACACAAGCAGGCAGCTTTTATTTTTTTATACTTCGGGTTTTTTTGAAAAAGATTAAATTTCGTTTCTTGTATTATGGTCACCCGCAATCTTCGGTAGACCTTTTCTGCTTCAAACATTTCTTGCCCTTTCACCCACCATGTGTCTCTACGGAATGTCACAGAAGTACTTGACCCACAGAGTTCACAAAGCTCTTGTTCCAGACATGTATAGCATTGGCCCGATGAATTGGCCTTTCTAAACAGGTTGCAAGAATCTGTTTGTCAGTGTTATATGCATTCTATGGTGACAGTGTTAGCAGACTGTGCTTGCCTACTTGGATGTGCTACCTACAGATGTCAGAAGCATCGAGGGTGTGCCTAGATAACAGACAATCTTCTGAAAGCTTCTGATGTGTCCTTTAGTGCAGTATGTGTCTGTAATTTATTCAAGCTGCGGTGTTTTAGCCCCATTTCTGGTATGGGATGTGGCGTCGCAAGGTGCTGCATCCTCGTGTCTCAGGTTGCACCATTCATTGGCAGCACCTCCAAGTAGGCAAACACCACCTGCCAGTACTAAATCTCAGTGCAATACATTGAATTTTGTGGTCTGTTTAGAGGTCAGATTCAGTGGGCCCACACTGTATAGTATTGATGCGTTCGCAGCTTTTGAGGCATAGCCGGGCGGTTTGCCTATATGGTTTGGACACCGTAGCGTGGGGTTCAATTCCCAGCAGCGGACACATTTTTAATTCTTATTTTATTTAGGGTACTGGGAGGACCCAGAACAATCTCGAAAGTTCTTGTTTTAGTCTGTTGGCACATCTGTTCTTCTTGAACTATCTATACCCGTTTTCACCTCAAGAAAAAAACAAGTTTTGCACATTGTTCATATGCAGCGCAAAGTAGTTCTTATGAGATTTAGTTGTCGGAGGAAAAAGCAATGCTTTTGGCTTTTGGAGTGTGAACGGCTTAATAAGATAACATATATCTAACCTACAATTCACCCACAAATTCTCCTACATAAAGGGGGAAGTTAATGATGCTCAGCGAGAAGCCGGATTTTTTTTTACTAGTGTTCTTCACGTGAAAACGGGTGTAGTAGGAATGTGGTAGACGGTAGCGTGTTTATAAAAGTGACTTATAGCGCCTGCCTACAGTCAGTCCGAGGCCCATTGCCACCGTTGCAGGGTGCACAATATTTTCATTTTGGAGGCACAGATTCGCCTTATAAAAAGCAGCTTTTCAGTTTTACTAACATCCTCTGCTTCTGTTCGTGACAGCATTACCAATACAGCAATGGTCAGATTGATCCCAAGCTCTGAAACCAAAATTTCTATCTGGCGTCCGGTGCTGAATCGGTAATGCTACAGGATATGTCAATACATGCAGTGGACGATGTACTGATTAGAGCAACTGGAAATAACTTGTTCTACTATCCTCTGATTACAGTGTGAGGCGGTTCCCAACAGTGGAAGTATGGAGAAGGAAGGCCTGATCAGGTCCCTGGCCTTTGCAAGGGAGAAGGAGCTGACAGTGCGGTCCCTGGCCACGGACAGGCACCGCTCAATCGCCAAGCACATGAGGGAGAAAGAGCCGGCTGTCCTCCACTTCTTCGACGTCTGGCATGTGTCAAAGAGTAAATGGCATTTCTCATGGTCCTATTACCGTACATAAACAGACAACCTACACTGACTGCCGACATGGCAGAAGCAAAGTTCTGGTGACTCCAGCGTCTGCACTATCACTTGGTAATAAATGGGCACCTGTTGCCAGTTGGCAATGTTTAAAACCTGAGAAAGGTAGATGACAAAATGCCCTTGGCATGTCTGCAAGCCGTGTTGCCTAGCAGTGCTGCTACTTTCTGCCTTTTTATATGTTGGTAGTCAACCCTTGTGTTGTGACTCTCTTTTGAAGAGAAGCTGATGTGGCTTTGTAATTGGGATAAACCGTCTATGCCTGTTGGTTTCACCTACACAATCTCGACTATGATTCATTTCTCTTTGTAGTGTCTAAATTATGTCAATTAAATGAACTATAAACAGACTTAAAACTATGATTCTAGCAGCATGATGTTTTCTCTTGTGCTTTTCGCATGCACATCACTTGTTTCTTTAGTTTATTAAAATATGATGGGCAGTTTGCATTACCAGCTGACATAAAGGCAGCAGTGAAAAAAGGCGTGAATATGTTTTGCAAGTGAGATGCTTCCTTTTCCTGTGTTGAATATTTTCTTGCAGATGAGCTGTTCGAAAAACTAGACAAGTGCTAATTCTGCACACTGGTCGAACTGCAGGTGTCAAGAAGAGCCTTAACGCAGCCAGCAAGAGCCATGACTGTGGCTCGCTGGTTGGGTGGGCACAGCCGGCGGTCAACCACATGTACTGGTGTGCGACGGCGAGCCGGGGCAACCCTGACCTGCTGGTGGGTGCCTGGTCGAGCATGACAAGGCACGTGGTCGACGTCCATGCAGACCACCCCGGGATGTACACCAAGTGCCTTCATGAGCCCATCGAAGATGGTGAATGGCTGGTGCCAGGTCAGTAGACGTTTCACATGTCTCTAAAGGTTCTACTTAGCAAGTTGACTTTCGGTGATTTGGAGCAGACAGGAAAAATGAAATTCTTCTAATGAAATGTCCTTCGAGTTATGAGCAAGCACTCAAACAATACTTTTTTTTGTCCTCCACTGTTGGCAGTTTAGTAAACACTATGCATATCGCAAATGTATCTGCAAACGTCATCAGTGTTCGGTTTGTTGAAGGAGTACTTCACAACAGGCAATGCAGCTTTCTCATTTTTCAGCACTCGGCAGCTTGAAACTACAAGCAATGCGATAGTTTTTATGCCTGACCCCATTCACAGTTTCACTCTCAAAATATTGACCAGAGGTTATGAAGTGTGTCGACATCTAGATATCCGTTATACGAAACACCTTCAACTGCCAACAGCTTTGTTGCCAAATAGCCATGGTGGTGTTTTAGGCGTAGTCAGCATATTTGCATGCAAAACAAGCCTTTGAATTAACTAGGTTTGACTGTAGACTTTGAATTACCGCACCTATTTTACATAGACTTGAATGTATGATTTCCGGGACTGCACCCTTACTTGTAACTATCCAACCATTTAAAGAAAAGACTGAGTTGGAATGAGTAAAGTGTATAAATGAAAGAAATATAGACTTAAATGAAATGCAGTAATGTTTAAGGGACCATAAACACAATTAAAAAAAAAAAGGTTTAGAAAATAGTGTGTTTGAACTCCTTGGAGGCTGAACACGCTCCTCAACGTTTTATAGAATTCGGCGACGCATATTTCATGCCTGCAAATAAACTGGCGAAACCGAAACTAGCTATCCTCAATTTCATTTTCTGGTCCTCCGAAATCAGAAGTGACGTCAACACCGAATTAATCGGTTTCGGTAGCATTTAGTGGCTGTCAAGCATGACTTTTGCGGCGAGTGGTAGCAAAGCAGAGACGTCGGGTGCGACGTCTCTGCTCTTGGCGCGCGGACAGGAGCCGCTTCTTTTGTCTTCTCCCACACCTACCAACTGCTTCTCCTGCTCTTCGGGATGTCGCTGTCATTGCTCCTAGTGCAAAGTTTGATGGAATTTCTAAATTGACACAAGGATCAGTTCCACCTAAAACTTACCAACATTGTTAGGGATGTGCCCGGAACATATTATAACCGTCAAATAAAACTTCAAAATCGTGTTTATTGTTCCAATGTAAATGGACTAAATGTTACTCAGGTAAAATTTCGTGCTGCAAGCCTTAATCTTGCTTTCTGTTTGTTTTAGACACACCTGCCCATGCCAGGTTTGTGGACGTCGTGTCCAGCAAGTCCCTACTCAAGGACCTGCGCCAGCTTTCCCCTGACACACAAACCTATGGATTGGAATCTTTCCATAGTGTGCTCAACCGCTTTGCACCCAAGTGGGCTGCCTTTCGCACAAAAGGCATGCTCGCCAGGTATGTACTCACAGAACACATAGAGAAATGTTAGAGAAAGGAGGTGTTGGTGACTACCCACATAGCTAACCGGAAAGCAGGTGATATATTTGTGATGTGCATTTCAGCTCACTGCTTTCCGTTTTAGGATATGTTGTCATTTTCGGCATTCGTCCACTGTTATTTATTTTTTTAGAATAATAAGAAACCCTTTTAAAAGGCAACTCCACTCAATTTCGAAGATTTCGGGATAATGAGTAATTTCAAATTAAAAAGACCTAGTAAAACACACTACGTCGTTTGCTTCGCAAAAAATGGGATATATATTTTCAAACCTAATTTTAAACACGAGCGGAAATCGAAACCGAAACTTTGGCTCCGCCCGGCAACATTGGCCTCGGGCCGCCAAGTGTTGGTACCATCTCGTACCATCACGTGGTATGAGATGTCACGTGATCCTCGGCCCAACGACGGGCAGGATTGGGTCGGGCGTGTGGCTGGTGCGAGTGTCGTCTGCACCTCACTCTTTGCCACGTTTTGGTGTCTACGGCATTCAACGACGTCTGCACAACTGCGGCATAAGTCTGCACATGTGGTGTGCAGACTTATGGCTTATGTGGTGTCCGTAGTATGGATGAAACTCCGAGAGACAATAATCACAATCGGTGAGGCGATGATGGCGGTTGTGACACGGAAGACGGCGGGACCACGGCGGGCGGCCGGACGGCTCCCAAGAAACGCGCTGCGCAGGCGCGTTACACCAATCACGTGGACACCGCTAAGCGCCGAGAGGCAACGTTGCTGACGTCATGCGCTACGCTCGCCCGGATAAGTGAAAACAAGCTAAAGGGGGCCATGATAATGACATTTAGCTCAATGTTGGCTCTGCCCATGCCGTAGCCTTGACTGCGCTGTTGGTTGCGCCTGAATTCGCCCGCTCAAGTCAGCCGATTTCGGCAACTTGGCGAGTTGCAAAGTTTGCCGGACCGTTTAAGAAACATTTAGACAGAACTGCGTCGTAACATTTCACGTGTGGTCTTCCTAGGCGATACTGAAGAGGACTGCATTGTTTTTTCAAAACCAAAAATGAAGCGGAGTTGCCCTTTAAGTTCTTTCAGTGTTTCGGAATTCTTCAGAAAGACGAGAGTCTCAGTGTGAGGGTGTAACATGGTGGCCTAATTCTTTTTTTTAACATCCTGCTCCGTCAGAATCACCGTTGTTTCTCAGTAGATAGAGCGGAGTTGCTAAATATGCAACTCTATGTAGCTGCACGTATAGCCTGGTTGACCTACTGGGCAGTGCACTGGGCTCTCACGCTGGTGGCCGAGATTCAATACCCGGAACCATGGGTGCTTTTATTTTGCTACTTTACTGAAAGGTTCTAGAATGATTGCATAATTAGTGGTAAGTTCCGACTTAGAAAGTTCTATGCCCGATCGTGTTCGTTCGGATGTTCAAGAAACCAGTGTAACATGAAAGAAGAGTTGGCGGGACAGTATGGAGCCATTCATCACCAGTGCTCAACCCTGCTCTCATGCCGATATCGGTGCCTGCGACGTTCCATTATTCTAATTTGTTTCTTTGCCTTTGGGCACAGGTTCACCCCCATTAAATCTATCATTCACCCTGTTTGTTTATCGTTCCTTCGTTGGATTCGTGGCAGTGTGCAGGTTCCAGCACAGACCCAAATGACATGACTGCTATCTCCACTGCTAAGGAAGACCTAAGAATGCAGAAGTTTCATCAAAACATACCGGGCGGCATTTCAAAGCACATACTGTTTGTGGGAGCTGCACCACATTTTGTTTGTCTGCATTCTCTATTTGTTCAGGACCCGTGTAGCAGCGCTACACTGGAATGAGAACAGCGAAAGGGAGCAGGCCACTACTAAGGCGGGTGAAAGGCAGTGGGCAGTGAGATCGCCCAAGGCCAGGAAAGGGCATCACACCGTCTGCCCCCAAAAGACAAAAGTCACATATGGTATTCTGAAAGAATTCTACTCTGTGGTCTTTTTAATTGGTATTCCTGTACTATTAGGAGATCAATTTACGTAGTGACTACAGCTGATGACTGATTAGTCACAGGGTGTGTACCAACCGGGAGAACCTGGAATTCTCAGAAGATTTCAGTCATCAGGAAAAGTCTGGGAATTATCAAGGAAATCATCAAAAAGTTGACTAAATCAAGGGAAATGACCAATGAAAGTGTCACAGTGGCGCAGAAGAGGGCGCGACGGTATCACATCAGCATAGCCATGCTGAATGTTGCCGAAACAGTCCGAGTATTTTATCGAAATAGGTAAAAATCTGGAAAAGTCACAGAATTTGACATCAGACACCCTGTAGACCAGGACAGTATCTGCCCATAAGTTAAGTGCTCAGATAAACTGCTGTTGCTCACGGCATTGGCTTCATGCATCAAGATGTGTCGTCTGCCCCACGGCATTGGATTTATACGTCAAAAAGATAGTATGTCATCTACTCCATGGCATCAGCACCTTCTAATTTAATGAGAGGCACCCTCTTTTTAATTTCACATGAGGGCCATAATCACCCACGCAAGGTGGAAAATAGGCAGCTGAGGAGGAAGAAGGTTTCACCCGTGCAAACTTTTCTTTCCGGGACAGCGGGTATAAATCTAAATGCGAGCTGACACCTGTTTTATGTGATATAGATGTGTAGAGTATACAATTCTGAGCAGAAATTTATGAAGGCGCATATGTTGTATCACGGTGCTACCGACTTTGCACCGAAACTGAAATAACTGGAAGTAAAATGTTTTGATATAAACTACAGCTATCAAAAAATATGATAAATTAATTTTTCAGATTACGTCGGAAAGCTCGTGGCTCGGGCCGTGGCAATCTGCAAGGACATCGGACCTCTGAGGGAGGTCTTCAAGCTTGATGCGAGGACGCCGCGTCTGCCAAACCTGAACCGGAGCTGCGACAGACCACCAAAGGAGGATCTGGTTGCTGCCAGAATCAGCCGTTTTGGAAAGAAGGCGCCCAACGCAACGGAGTAATGGTTTGCTTTGCAAGCACAATACCAGCGCACTCCACTTGCTGGTTGAGTTCTTGTTGCAGTTGGGGCTGTTGTAACATGAGATGGAGTGGGGCTCTGGTCGCTCGCACTGTGTATTTGAGGAAGCTGGCATTTTGCCTGACGACTTTTCCGTTTCGAGATGCCTTGATGCAGGATCCTCGGAATGAGATAACAGTGAAAGACCTGGGGTCATAAAATGGGGTGGATTTGTTGTGCTGCTGTTCTCTGCAGAGCGCGAGTTGACTTGAAATGAAGTTGTACGTTTGTGCGTAATGTCACTTGTTGACATATGCCTTGTCGTATCTTTTCCTCGCTGCATCTGTTTGTTGTGCCTCGATCTCGGTGTAGCCTTTGTCACCAGGGTTAGGAAGTACTGGTAACATGTTGCACACTTCCCAGTTCTTTGACAGATGAGGTGGTGATGGCTTGGTGTTCACTGCGAGCACCTTTCTTTTGTTTTCGTCGGGCTGCTAGAGTTTTGTTTTATGATGCTGACGTTGTGCTTCGCCTCTTCGAATAGCCGGCCTTGCTTGAGTATTCCTTGTACGTCGAGGTCGTGTTGTATGGTATAGCGGCGCAGCCTTGAGGACTTTGTCGTGATGAGGATCTGGTTTTTAATCTCGGTGTCCAGGCCAACGAACACACAGTGCCTCGCAAGCTGCCGCAGTCAAGCGTAAAACAGGTTGAGTGACTCGCTTCCCACCTGCTTCGTCTGCTGAAAGCGGTAAACTTCGAAGCTCGTAGTTACCTGGGGTAGGAGTAAGCGTCGAGCTTCCTGCGTGTAGCTGTGTATAGAGCAGTTGTGTCGCTGCAGAACTTTGCTGCGGTTGAGACAGGCGCAGTCACTGGAGGTTCTGGTAGCATGCAGCAAGTGTCGTAGAGGTCTTCTCCGATATAGTGCAACTGAAAGGCGGTGTTCCTGGCATCATTTTGATTCCACAGGCGACCACAAAGTCCTCGAACCGTTTTACCCACATTGACCACTCAGTGCCGACATTATTGGTATCAGTGACACGAGCGTCAAAGGAGGGAAATGGGGGGGAGCACGCCTTAGTCCATCTTGCTAGGCAGGTGTCATTTGTTGGATGCGTCGGGGTCCATTCCACTTCATTGCAGGGCGATCCTTATGCTGTTCTTGCACATTTTCTTGGCCATTTGTAGCGTTGTCTGCGTTTAGGAGGGATGAATTTCGTCCGGTTATGATTCGGAACAAAACATGTTTATTACACATTCGTAGCTATCTCGGATCATGTGTCCATGGATGTGTTAGAATCTCCTAGGATACTGCACTATTGAACTGTTCATTACAGTACAGTAGACCAAAGAGGCATGGCCTGGTTTGTGCCTACCAGGTTGAAGGAGAGGGAACGAAGTATGAGCTTGGTCTGGCTTTATTTTCACAGTCCCCACTTTTTTGCAATTCAGGCAAAGGAACATACCCCCGAATTTTGTGAATTCCAAAAGTGAGAATTGAGGGCCTCTAGAGGCCAGTGTTTTCTTTCGCATGCTCCTAAATTTCACTAATCCTTCAATTCGCGAAATTCACCAAATTAAGGGCTTGCAAAAGTAAAGGGTTTTACAGTATTGGGACAGCCAGTCAGCGTGCCCATATGCAGGGCACACCAACACTCGGATACAGCAGTTCTCACACAAACCCCCAAGGGTCCTCAAGAGCATTCATGGGGGGGAGTCGTCTTCCTTGCATTAGTGCATGTCAAATCAAGGACACGAAACAGGGTGTCCGATGTTGGCACATTATTGTCTAGCGTACATCACCTTTTACACTGATTGCAAGCTGCGAGTACCACTTCATATGTAGCACAATCTGAGTACCTGCAAATGCACTATGTTTTTGGGACCTTGCCTTGCAGCCTTGTTTTGTGTGTGTTTAGTTGATACGTTTGGTTTACATCCCGTCTGCCCCCTTTTCACATAATAAGTCTTGTGTCAAACTGATAGGGGAGGACGCTCACTCGAGTCAAGCCTCGGCTAAAGTGCGATGTGCTTATCAGTTTGTGCTGAGCCCCGAGTGAGCATCCTCTCCTTGAAGCAGAATGAAATTGCCCGCAGTGCCCCCGCCAGCCACCGCCTCGGTCACGCTCTCCCAGTGGGTCCTTCGTATTGCAGCACATTGTACATGAATAGTGCAAAATAAACAGCAATGCTTCGTAAGCTGTAGGAAGTACTGAATGTAGAATGACTACATGAACAGTGCAAAATTGATTGCAATGCTTTGTAAGCTGTGGGAAAACCAGCATCAGTGCTTGAAGTTGTATGTTTGTTTTAATCAGTCGAAATGTTTTGTTGTCTCGGTGCATAAAGTAGTATGCTTGCAAAAACTTTAGTGAAACAATGTGGCGTTTACAACATTTTTATTCTACATCATGAAACCCCGTATACGTTTCCGAAGGGAATTCATCGTGGATCCTCTTGACCACGCAGGCCGGTAGAACACGTCGATTGCGACGTCCCAGCCTCCGCCACATCCACCGCACGAATTGGTGATAGGCCGCAAAACGAAGCCTGGAAAATTTATAAGGACAAAGCTGGTCAATTACCACTGATACAAATGTTTGAAGTGCCAGCCAAGACACACTACACATCTCGATGATACTATACTCAGTTTCAAGTTGTGTGCAGTGCAGGCACAGCTTTCCACAGTGTTTTGTGTGCACAAGCACTTGCACGCAGAGGGTGTGTTTGGAAGCCACGCGCTCGTGCCTGTGCCTACACTGCACACAAGTTGGGACTCCGAGTATAGGGCAGGTTTATGGAATTGAGGTGCATGTGACAAATGAAAATACATCAAGATTTACTTTGGAGTATCTAATTAAGTGAAACGCAGGACTACAGAGATGTGATGTTTTCAAAAGCTGGACGGTGCAATAAGATGCAATGAATGCCTGACCATGTTACTTGTGCACATAGGAGACTTGACCGCATGTAATAAAAAAACAGCATCATGTGTCGAGCTTGAATGTTTTGTTTTACTGATTGTCTGTACTTTGCGATTTCTGGCTGAACAATATAAGCGGGTAATAGGGCCACTTCATGCAGAGCACACCCGCCTTTTGTCCTATTACACAAGACCTTGTGCTCAAATAAACTGGGCAACTTCAGAGAGTTGTGATGCAGTCTCCTAAACGTAGTGTTGTGTTCTTCCATGGGAATATCTGCATGGTGACGTGCGTGTGCGCCACCCAAAATGTTTTGTCAGCCCCAGACTGTCACATGTTTAAAAACTCCTGCATTATAAAAAATAAGGCATACCTTTTCTTTTTTCACAAAGGGAAAACCCAAAAAATTTGACCTTGATAAACTATTCCTTTTTTTTTTTCTTCTTTTTGTATGACTGAAATTGATGTTACAGGCACGAGTGCGCTGTCTTCGACAACGATTTGCCTTCACGAACGCGTGCTTAGCAGGCCCAAAGTTTTGCGCTCGCTTCCGTTGCTTCCTTTTCGCTTGGGATTAGTATGAAGTGAGGTCTGGAAGTATAAGCTGGACTAAGGAGAGGCTCCGTGACCACTGAGTACTCGAGCTTCTTTACTTGGCCAGCACATTCCGAAGGATCCCAGAAAGGTCTGCACAGAGTAGGCCACAAGCATTTTGTTCCACTCCAGTGAGCATCCTAACTATGCAAAGCTTCACACAGCAGGGGACAGCTCGTCTGCATGGTCATTGCATGCATATTTGCAGACGGGAGTGGGGTCGGTACTGTGCGCGAAAGACTTGCCGTGTGCATCACACTGGCGTTTTATTACATTCTAGTCGAACTTATAAAATCACCGAACAAAATTTTAGGAGAAGGTTTCCCAGAGATAACTTTCTCTTGGTTATAAGGGAAAACCTGCGCTGGCGTATGCAGTACGTGCTAGCGGGGTCGCGTTCTGCAATCCCTGAGCGCAGGAAGCATGTCTATCAAATGAGCAACACTTTCCTACAAGGAAATTTCAAACAAACTACGCACTTCTGTTCTCGCGGCGCCGGGTGACGACCTGCCTCCTGCAGAGCCCAGAACGCGACTTCGAGCACGCCGGGCTGGAGGCAGATCGGTGCGAAGTTGTTGTGCTCCGTGATGCACCCTCCCGGGCGAGTCGCGACCGCGGGGGGACACTCCCTGCAGCAGATGCACTCTTTAGGCGTCGGCATGATGCCGCACCTCTTGCACGAGCACCTGAGATCAGAATAAGCCAGTGTCAGACGAAAGCTACCTGCAAACAGCATGTGCGATTATTACCATGCCGTCGTGGTCAGCCGCCACGAATCTGGGTCCGGAGTCGGGCTGGGGCTTCCGTCGAGCACCGCCCGCGCGTCCTCTTCACTCAGACATTTCGACGGCGTCCCCGCGTACGGAACGAGCCCCAGTGACTCGCTGTACTCCAGCATCTGGAGCTCGACCTCGTTGAGTTCGCCTCTCCAGGAGCCGGTGGCCATGTTGATCGCAAGCATGCGGTGACGCGGTCACGTGGTCGTGAGCGGATGAGTTCTTGCCGCTCACTGATGGCGTTAGAGAGAGGAATTTCCCGGAACCCCGCGCCTACCCAAGCGACGTCACTGCGCACGTGACCCGGAAGACGATGTACGAGTTGAGAGGCGGCAAAAACCTGGATCTTTTTCATTTTTTTAAATAAAAACTACGGTATCCAGGCAAAATCTGTTTTCTGTAGTTCACTTCAGAAGTGTCAGGCAGCAACTTCCACAATTATTTAAGCAAAGCCCTGAAATTGTTGCACAGCTCCTTTAACAAAAATAAAAAATACCCGCTTAATTTAGTGGGGAATATTTTCTGCTAAATTTAGCAGAAAATTTAACGAAAATCTCTCGCTTAATGGGATGGAAGAGGAGAGGAGAAGGCAAGGGTACGGATGAGGAGGAGAGGCATGCGCTCTTTTCCGTACCTTCCTCTGCTCTTCCCCTCCTCCTCCTCAAGAGCTGCGCTCTGATTCGGCGTTACAGAGATTTAAACGTCTTTCATTTTTTATCGAAAGCAACAAGGTGCTTCCAGGCATTTCGGACTGAACGGGAAAAGTCTTCGCCAATGCTATAGTCGGTGCCTTTTAGATCATGGTCATTTGAAGGAAAAGCTTTCTTGGTTTTGAAAAGGCTTAGCTTGAGAATTATTGGCCAGCAGTGCCCGGCTGCGGGCACTGCTGATGGGCACAGCTGCCCTTACAACCTAAAGAAAAATAAAGATGGCACCATCTAGGGTGTCGCGCCCTATATATTGCGTTTTTGTTTTATTTCTTTAGGGTCTATGGTCCCCTACAAACGATCTCAGAAGTATCGAATTAGTTATGCCTTTCACTGGTGGGCAAACGACTTAGATTGACTGGTTCGGGAAAACCGTAATATAGATTGTTTTGCAGCGATCGATTTTCGGCATCGTCATACGGGCGTCCATATTACAGGCCCGATGAGCAGTTAGTCCGGCGTCAGTGCGCGTACCGTCAAGGTAAGTTCGTAAGGTATCAAAATTTTTGTAGTTATCTTCTAGATCGGCCATTGGAGTCCTCAAATCGAAAAATGTTCTATCAGTTGTTTTTAGTTGCATTTTGAGACCTTGAACCTCAGCAATAAACTAAAATTGGCCTTAAAACATTTTTTCAAGTCTTTTAGTACAGCTTGAGTGGGGGGGGGGGGGGGGGTCCTGGGTTAGTTTCGTATTAAACGTCGCTCGACAACAATGACAAAGAACGAATGACTTCAGCACATTCAATGACAATAAGAATGCAACACTGCGGGCTCAGTAGGTCTACCGATAATTAGTTACTTCATTTTTAGAGTAAAGAATGTATGATTTGCTAACGTGCAATGTAAAAACCAGCGAAATAGTGGTCTGTTGTGTAGCAGAGCCGCCAAGCCTACAGAGCGTGGCTGGCCGCCGCCGAAATTTTATCGTTGACTGGGTTTGTGCTCTCGATGACGATGGGATTTCGATTGCTAGCTTCAGCACGCAGCTATCAAACGGTGGCCATGGCAGATGCGATGACCCATGTAGAGTGGATAGATGACAAGTTCCAAAATCGGGACCATAGCAGGAGGGTACACAGTCCGAAGCGACATATGAGGGGCAATCAGCAGCGTAGCGAATAGCACGCTGGTAAAGACGGCGCCGTAAATCTGCGTAGCGAAAACGAGTGAATTACTGTACTGTGGTTTAGCAGAGCCATCGAGCCCAACACGTTGCGACGGTGGCTTCAATTTCTGTTGCTTATCGAAAACTTGTTACGAAAACGCGAAAACACTTTCAGTGGTGTTTATAAACATCGCTTGCATTCGCCGAAAATCCAAATTTGGGCCTCTCACTCTTTAGTACGTTGCTCAACACTTCCGCCAGCGGAGCGGCGTGGACTACGTTTAGACTGCTATGGTACACAACTTGCGAGAAAAAAAAAAAAAAGAAATCCCTAATGGGGAGGCGGGGGGGGGGGGGGGCACGTGGAACCGTAATTACCATGGTTAACGTGATGAAGACATCGCCATCGATTATGTGACCGAGTATACCTTTATGCTACGTAATTACGTTACCAGTTTACGTTAGGTAATCACGTTATCCTAACAGGTTAACTGATCAAGCAATCGCGACTGATTACTTGATCAGGGGAGCTATAGTTCACTGATGACCTCAGATGTGACGCAGTTCTCTACGTCACTTGTCATCCCGACGTCACATAAGGTCCTTTACGTTGAAAATTGACATCAGGTGCTCACAAGACCCCCTGAGTCCGTGGCCAGTGTTTCCACCAACCACGTGACAATGTATGCCATAATAACATTAATCGCGGGACTACGGTCGCCAGAGTCACCTATGACGCATCAGAACACGTAGCCTGAACTTTCTTGCTACTTCGCATAAAGCGAATTGGTACTGAATTACACGCTGTCCTTCTGCTTGGTGTCCCGTTTATTTTGCACTGTTTCTCAATATGTCGTTCAACCAACCAGCCCAGCAAGCTATCCTGTTACAGTACTGAATTCCTCTTGTGTTTGGTCAGAATCAATATAGCGGATAACCACAATAGTCAAACGTGCAGAACAAGGGAGATGAATTTAAACAAATCGATAAATACTGAACCAAGTCAACACAAGCGCAATGAAGTAATCCGCTTTCCGCGTCAATTAGCTCTTTATACGTAGCACCAAGGAAACTATTTTGTATAACTTTATATTGTTCGAAAAGAATAGCGTCAGTCGTCTGATATTCAATCATTCCACCGCTTCTTCCGAGGGAAGCTCCTTCCGGACCAGGTGAAAATATATCGTTTTCTTTTCATTGCTCTTATACGAAAGATGGTGCTTTGCTTCAAATTTCGCGTATTCAGGAAGAGAAATCTAGTTTTAATATAAACTCGCAGATTTTTGAAAAGTAAATATTCTTTGAAGAATTTAGTGTACAACTAGCATAACTATGGCTGCAATACTCTACACACAAAGCGAAAATATTCCCAGACAGGAGTAAATCGCTTGTCCTCTAGCGCATTGCCATATGGGAGTTTTATATACTCTACCGGATAAGAGTTCAGAGTTAACTCCCATGCAGGGCAGAGCTTTTTGGGGGGTGGAAGGGTTAAGTACAGAACTCCCATCAGCACGTGAGTCTGTTCATGGATCAATGAGAGTATTTATTTTCTTCCATCAGAGTGTTCCTAGGTGGACCCTTGGGAGTATTCTTTCACATCCATATGGGAGTTTTTACGTGCATTTATGGGACTATTTTTTCACATCCATATGGGAGTTTGTGCACTTTTGGGACTATTCTTTCACATCCTTATGAGCGTTTTTACGCGCATTTATACCACTATTTTTCACATACATATGGGAGTTTTAATGTGCACTTGTGGTACTATTTGTAACATCCATACGGGAGTTTTTACGTGCATTTATGGGACTATTCTTTCACATCCATTTGGGAGGTTTTACGTGCATTTATGAGACTATTTTTTCACATCCATATGGGAGTTTTATGTACTCTTGTGGGACTATTCTTTCACATCCATATGGGAGTTTTAGGTGCATTTAGGGGACTATTTTTTCACATCCATTTGGGAGTTATTATGTGGGCTCACGGGAGTATTCCTTCGCGTCCACCTAGGAGTTTCAATGGTGGTTTCTGACTGTATTTTCTTGCTACGTTTAAGGGGTTTCTTCAAAGTCATGAGGTGTGAAAGGAAAGGCATAAGCAGGTAGCATCATGCACAAAATAAATTTATTGCACACATTATGTTCATTTCTTGCACACGTCGTGTGGCAAAAGCTCATGTTGCCTCAAGCGGAAACTGGCTTATACCCTGTCAGACGGTCATTTAAATGACCCTTCAGGGGAAACTTCTTAAAAATATCTGCGAACAAGTGAACACCAAAGAGCACAGGCAGAGCCGAGATCGTGAGCTGGTTGGCTGATTTTTTGAAGGAGTTAATTCTGAAGGCCATTTAAATGCCCGTGTAACGGGTATTTATTACAGAGTAGGGTACGCTAGGCTAACTGTGGTACATAAGCCACGATAGTTGTGTAGAAATAAATAAATTCCCGTGCCTTCACCCGCGGCTTCATGTTGCACAGTCCCCAAAACCATGCTCAATGAAAGTCAGCATCTTATGTGCCTTCTTCGCATACTGGATGTGGAAACTCCAGTAGGCGGCAATGAGGTACCCACACCCTGATAGAGCTATACCATAAGTTCAAAGTTTTTCCTTGATCAGTCCTAAAATATTGAAATAAATTATCTCAAACTTTACAGAATTTTATAGACATAATATGAGAGTCATTTGGCACCTCAACTTATTTATGTTGAACACCCTGACTGCTCCTCTTAGATGTCGCAGCTTTCTCGTTATCCGTGGCAGCGGCAAATGCAATTCCTCTTCCTGGAATCAGTCGGCTGTAGGCCATTCTCTTCCCTGCATAGTGCTGGAAGGGACCTGTAACCAAAAAAGCACAAGCTTTTAAGTTAAATTTACTGACCATCAACAGACGAGACGTTTCCGACGTCATCGTATGAACCTTGCAAACCCGGTGGGAAGCGGACTTTTCTCAAAAAGTGAATTGAAGAAAGTTTCTTCAAGGCAATATTAATACTACTGATATTGAAAATATGGTAAAAGGGCAGAATGGTTTTAAAGTGATACTGCAACGAAATTGTAGTGCCTATTTTATTATCTAAATGTCAACTACGTTCTGGCCATCTAATGGAGACACCAATTTTTTGCTCAAAAAGACACGAAAACATTATTCAAAACTAATGTCTCAGAAAATCTCCCGATATGCATCGCGTTTGAGACGTCTGGTTCTCCTTCAGTCAGGGCTATGCGGGGGCTGGCGTGGCTGTCAGCTTCGCCATTTGATGGCGTCAATGCAGTGCAAGCTGGGCGTTCGAGTTGTCACTCCCCGTTCTCAGCAGGAGTTGAATAGGTACGGGAAAAAAGAAAATCCGGTTCAGCCAAGTTAGACAGGGCTCGGGCACATAT